AAATTTTGATGCTTATTTTTATTCTTAATTAATCAAACCACATAATTAAGCAATTAAGCACAAAACACATAATACTCAAATAATACACTTCTATTATTTCAAAATGGGTTACAAAGGTTAACCTAGACTATCACATTGCTAAAAATGGAAAGCCCAGAAACACAGGCGTTACATATTTGTTACACGACCTTGTCCGCAATCTTGTCCCGGACCACAACCTCGATTGGAGTTAGAGCTCAATTTCACCAATTATGCTCATACCGGTGGTGCTATGATGACTCCTAGACCTCGTCCCTTAGACATACCTCTACCTCGAACCTAACTGCGCCAACAACTGGAAATAGGGTTTACGGGAGTCTTTTGTTCTTCTTTGGGTGCAGAAACATCGACTCCAAATTAGAATGTCTTCCCGATCTAGTGTTACCTTAGTAAGCCTCTCTGATATCCCTGAGGATATGATGCCTACTAGTAATATATGGTCTAAATTAGTTGCTAGGTTACCTCTCGCTCCTTCCGTCTAAGCTTAAGTGTTTACGGAAACAACTAATCTGCTTAAACAACGCTCTGATACCAACTTGTAACACCCCAATTTTCATATACAGATTCTATAACAAATTATCGTTCCAACATCTCCAAAGATCAATTAGGAACTTACTTACAGATTAAACTACAGCGGAAGAAAAATAAAATAAAATAAAGTCTTCAACCGAAGAGCTTCGGGTGTTACGTCTTTGCGGATATCCTTTGTCGTCTTGTTGATCAATCCTTCTCCCTAGCCTTCTTACTGCCACTTGTTAAATAGTTCCCTGGGTTGCGCACATTTAAAGTTTCTAAATGAGTAAGCCTAGGGCCTAGTGAGTTCGTGTTGCACATATATGTCCATCAATTAAAAAAAACAGTTTTATCATATAGTTTCAATAAATCATACAACAAATATATCACCCGATGACATAATTTAGGGGAACGATTAATTATCCAGAGAAAGAACCAAAGATTCATTTCTCTTCTCCTTGAGACAACTAATCATCCATTGTACTCAAGTATTTTAAATATCCAAGGAAATGAGTATAAATCTCAATTCCCATCCCCGCCGATCACACACATCCGTCATGCTCACGACGATTAAACACCCACCCGTTCCCACTAAACATGTCACCAAAAAAAAACACACACCGTAGATAACAAATCCAAAATAACATTTTGTATGCAACCATACTTATCATAAAACATACTGTCAATAAATAAATAAAAACAACATAATAAACGCATGACAAACATTTATGTGCGAGCAACCACATAACACTAGAAAAAACTCACCTTGATGGCGTTAGTCTTAACCAGATGTCGTCACGCTACCCGCAGACATGCACCCTACGTTTAACCAACATTTATTTTCTAAGGCTTAATCCTATAAACATCTTATGTGTTTGTTTTGGTTCCATCATGTAACATCCCGTTCTTTAAGTGTTTCATTATAAGTCCCTGAGATTTAAGAGGAAGGGTAATTCTGGTCCTTTTTCGAGAAATGAGTTTCCTCCGAGAAGGTTTCAGGCTGGTATATGTGTTAGAAGCTTTGGGCTTCCGTCACCCCCGTATGAATGTAAAGCTATTTGAGAGTGGGTTTAGATTAGAGGAGTTGCGGTGTTTTGAAGTTCATCATTGTTTATAGCTCCTTGTGGTATAAGTGGAAAAAGGATCCCATGCATGCATGGCATGCATGTAATTTTGAAGGGTGGCTGGGTACACCCAGCGTTAGCTGGACGTACGCCCAGCGTAATTGGGTGAATGATACGGGTTGGCCGGGTGAGTACGCCCAACGTACTAGAGGTATGCCAAGCGTACTCTCAGAAACTTCAAACCCTAATTTAGGGTCAGCCACTATATAAGGAACATGTTGGTTCACCCGTCAGCCTCCTTATGCTCATCTTCAACCTCAAAGAAACCCTAGATCTCGTATTCTCTCCATAATTGAGTGTGTTTGACCTTGGAAAGCTCTTGTTGGAAAAAGAAAGGCTTGAAGGAGAAAAGGGAAGTTGTCAAAGAAGAAGAAGAACGTGTGGGGCTTGTAGATCTGAAGAAATACCACCCTTTGGAGCTTGTTTGAGGTATAAAGCTTCTTGCTTGACCTTCATATTGCATAGATCTATGAATTTTGAAGCTTTGCCACCATTCTTGTCCCAAAAGTCCTCACCTTGTTGCATATTTCGATTTGGTCAAGATTATCTATCGTTTCAGACCTTTGGAGGGGTCTTGAGTGATAAAAATGAGGTCCCAAGTGATGTAGTTATTCCATGTATGAGATATATAGGTCTTAATGGATTAAGACCTTGGATTAAGAGCTTAAGGACGTCCCAAGTGATAAAGTCTGAGACTTTATGAATTCTAATCATATTTGACCTATGGATCTGAAGTTTGGGCTTAAGAGCTTAAGCCATTAAGAGGTTAGGAAGACTTAATGGATCTCGCAGTTACGCCCCGCGTAACCTTCGAGTACACCCCACGTAGAGGGCTAGTGTCCTGTTTTCTTTTGGTGATCATTGTAGTACGCCCAGCGTACCAAGGAGGGTACACCCAGCGTACTCCTCCTGTGGACTTCAATTTTGGGCCTTTTGAGTTTGGGCCATTTGTGGGTTGTTGGTTATTGGGCCAAGTCTGGGAAATTATGAATAAAGTATTTTGGGCCCAATTAATGTTATGGACATTGGATCTAGACCCATTTGGTGAGGTGGGCTGAATTTGGTAAATTGGGTCAATGTTGGACTTTGTGTGAGATTTGGACTTTGGTCTTGGCCCGATAAGTGGAAGTATGATTGACCTTATGTTTACTTTGTGTTGATGGTTAGTTCGGGATTTGCGGTGAGTTGGTGATTCGAGAGTCTGCTTCTTCAGTTCAGAGTATCGACTTTCGCGAGGTGAGTTATCCTCACTATATCGACAGGGTCTAAGGCACCAAGGCCGGCCCTTTATTGGATTGAGATTCGGATATGGTTGTTATGTTGTTGCTTTGATATGTCTGCATCCTGGTAACTAGAATGGTATATGCTAGAGACCTGGTTAAGGTCGATTTCCCGATATGTAGAGTGATGCTATGCTAGTGACCGGTTAGGTCGGTATCCTGGTTAGGGTAATGATATGTTATGTGATCTGCTTGATCGGTTTGTTGACTATGACTGTTATATGATTGTATGTTATGTCCACATGGTTGTTGGACTGGAGATGGGTTGAGGCGGGTCCTGCTTTGTGCTGTAGGCCAAGATACCTAGGGCGGACCGATTCTTCCGAAGGCCCAAGCGAGCGATCTGGATAGGATGTAGGCCCCACGAGGGCGGACCAGACGTGCTGAGGCTCGGAGAGTGGACGAGGCCGATTGAAGGCCCGATGCGGGCGGACCAGTCATACTGTAGACTCAAAGAGTGGACCAGGTGGGTTGAAGGCCCGGTGCGGGCCGACCAACCACACTGTAGACTCGATGGACATGACTAGACTCGGATGGTGGACCCGGTGGATTGAAGGCCCGATACAGCGGACCATTCACACAGTAGACCCGATATGCATGGCTGTTCTATGTTCTGTTATGTTATGTATGCTAATTATGTTATGGCTGGAAGGCAATATGTTTTGGACTGGAAGGTCGTAGCCTGGAAGGGCGTATATGTGGGTGGTATTTTGGGGGTATCTCACTAAGTTTTCGGGCTTACAGTTGTGGTTTAATGTTTTTCAGGTTCTTCAGGAGACCGAGACAAGGCAAAGGCGTGATCGTACCGCTCCTCGCGTTTATGTTTTATGATATGGACCTGGGAATACTCTGATAATAAATGTATTGAAAACCTTTTTGTAATAACGTGATTAAAATGGATTGGTTTGAAAAGTTTAAATTATTTTGAAATTTTTGGTCGTTACACATCACACATATGTCTCCTTCGGCCAACCAATAATTATTTCATCATATAAAACAGAATGTGCGTAACAAGTTTAATAAAAATATTATTATCTTTTTCTTCATTTTCTTTTCATGTCGTCATTCCCATTTAATGAAGTTTTACCCGTAAAAGATTTAATACTCAAATGTCAAAATAACTAAACCTTAAAACAAAAACTTTGTTTGAATAATAACAATAAGTAATATTAACATCAATATAAAGTAGTAAATTTAAAATAACAACCATTTATGTGATGGTGTACAAAACTAAAAATTGTCAAATTATAAAAAATGGAGGGATTATTTTTATATCTTTTGTTATGATACACAAGTAACACATTTGTTACCTGAAAACTAAAATTGCCAACTTATCAACAATAGTGGGACCATTTATGTAAATATCATTTTTATCATTTGAAATATCAAGGTAACCGTTTCAACAAAAGATCCAGATTCTTTTCTTTTTTACTCAAACAATAAAAACGTTTTCGACTATTTTATCAATGTAAAACTTAAAAACTGTGTCAAATAAAATTTATAAAACCACGGTTAATCATCTCCATTTCATACTAACATATTCATATACTAAATTTTGAATAACTTATTATAAAGCAAGTTTAAATTCACCATTTCTTTTACCAAAACGTAACGTTTGTTTTTTACCAAATTCGAGTATTCCTTGGCCGAAAATAGACATAGGATTGAACCAAAATAGATATTCAAATCCTATAAACCTACTCAAACAACTTAATCAAACTCAAATCGAAGAGACATACCTTAATTTCTAAAATAACTTTGAAAACCTTCACGAACTTCAAACCCCGATTTCTCTTTTGTTTCCCCAACCTTTCTTGCACTTTTTTGTGGGCATTACACTCTGTTTCCCATGCCTTTTATAATGCCCAAGTTTGTAACCTTTATAGTTAACCCAAAAGTCCAAATTTATGACACTAATCAAAGTGATGGGTTATGGAATTATAATTCCATAATTTCTCTATTTACTCCTACTTAATCACCATTATATTATTTTAATAATATAGTCAAATTATATATATTTATACATTTATTTTAGTTTGAGTTATCACACTTTTTTTCCCTCCTCTTTGCGATCAATCTGCCACCACCGAGCCCTTCTTCTTTCCCTTTCTTCTTCTTCTTCGTTCCCTGCCAAGAATAACCACCAGGAAGGTCTGATTTAGACGATCATATAGTAGATGCTGCTCTTCTGGTTGTGTATGGATGAGGGAAGCGTGCCCTAGGCATAGAGAGAAATAGAGAGAGTGAGAGACAACAAATTGAAAGGAAATAGTGTGAGAAGTTATAGGAATTAAATAAAGAATCAATTACTATTATATCGGTTTCACTGTTTCAAAGTTACACTTTAATATCAATAAATTTTATAATTTACATAAATGGCCTGTCTGATAATATCCTTAGATTTGAATATTTGAATTGTTTAGATTTGTTCTCGCGTTCTCAATATTTTTGGTGTTTTCATTTGATCTTACTCCTATATATATATATATATATATATATATATATATATATTATATATATATATATATATATATATATATATATATATATATATATATATATATATATATATACACACACACACATGTTCAAACATAAACATATATTCCTGTGAGATTGTCCAAAAAGCTTTAAAAGCAATGAAAATTAAAATAATAAAACAAAAAAAAAATGCTAATTAAAAAAATTAAAAAAATAGAAAATAAATAAAAAAATGAAAACTTGTTTTAACCGAAACACCATTATGATATATAGACGTGCACAATAGGTGATTGTGTCGTCAAGTGCTATTACAATTTCGTGCTTCAGTGTGATCGTGTCATATCCTAGAATTGTGATTGTGCCTTAATGAAATGATTGTTCGAGAATTGTCCGTCCTATTCTTATCATATTTTCATTTTCACCGAATCCGGACTTTATATTATCATATGATTAATTGAAGGCATCTAAGCCGAACCTACCTAGGGCCATTATGTTGTGGGTAAAGAGTAGAAGATCATATACTATAATTCCACACCTCAACCATGACTCTCCCGTCATGTTGGCAATATAACGTGAGGGGTTTGGAGAAACACTTGCCGCAATTGTAATGGGATCGTATCCATTGAACAAAAAGAGTATCGTCTAGAATTTAACCAACAAATCCCTGTCTTAACGTATATCTACATTTCCATCAAAGTGAGTACTGAGTAGCAATAATCTCATTAACTAGTATGCCTAAAAAAGTTTAGAATAGTTAAATATTTAGATATTAATGATGTACCTTTATATTGGGGAGTGTAGCCAACTAAATTATGAGTTGTTTTATGTTCAAAAAGGTCTTTGAATCTATGGGGAGGATTATAAAAACGATCATGGGTTAGGAAGTAATCTCCTGAGGTTAACCGAAAGGCAGACAGATCTCCATCAATGATATGTTTCCACAATTTGTAATAACTCAAAGGATCTTCTTCATTGTCTCTATCATTGTAGACAAGACCGGCTGCACATTCTTTTATCATTACACCACCATCATCCTCTTCCTCTACTATGGTGACACTAACTTCATCACCATTTTCAATCTCATTGTTCCTAAACATCCAATGGCTTAACCACACTATATCGTAATCATAATCCTGGACAACAAATATATAACCATAATATATCCAGGTGCGATTTGTTGTCACATTCTGTACTTTTATTCTTAAACAACTTACCATCCTTGTGCCTGAAAATGTTTGCACAAAGCATATATTAATTCCCTCTATTCTTTTATTCATGGAGGACGACGGGGTAGTGAATAATATTCATGAACCATTTCTTCTATGAGCTAGCCAATCTGGAACTACTTTTCCTGGATAACATATGCTAAATATTCCAAATTCATAATACATCTACAAACAAAATATTAATTTGCATGAATATAAGGCATATTGGTGTGTGATAGTGAAATAAATAAAATAACATGAGACAAAGAGCATACATGGACAGGAAGTTTCTTTACACGAGACCACATGTATGAATCCCAAATCTTGACCTTGTGATCTTTCACAGGTTTTAAAATTTTCCACCCCAAACTACATAATATCTTATCATCAATTTCTGCTATGGCTTGAATTTTGATTATCCCTTGAACTTTGGTCAATGACATTGAATCTTGGTAAAAGACAAGTGGTGGTGTCGATATCTCTTCTCGGAATGTTATTTTAATAAGTGATAAACACTGTTGAGTAAACAAACGTTTGATTGTACGTGGAGGGCACAATACTGACTTCAACATGGAACATTCTCCAACACTGAGTACCTCAAGTCGGGTAAGTGTTCTAACACAGTCCGGAAAGGAATCAAAGGAATCAATTGGATTCCCATTTAAACACAATGTCTTCAACATTGACATGCTACTGAAGTCCTTTGGAAAGGATTCATTAAATAAATTATTGCTTATAAGCGACAAGGTTACTAGTGATGGTGGCAAGTAAATCAAAGATGATTTGGGACTTTTGGGTACAATTCGACAATGGAAGAGGAAGAGGCATGTGATTTTTTGCAAAGACTATCTTTGTTTAGTAGTTTTTGCCACTCCATATACTTCATCTTCATTTCAAATTCACTAGCACCTATGCAGTTCTAACATTCTTTAACTTGCTAATGCTGCTTGGAAGGTTTTTAAGCTTCTTGCAGTACCTCATATCAAGAAGTAGAAGGTTACCACATTCACCAATTAAGTCACACACATGAACCAAACATTCACATCTTGTAAGTATCAATCTTTCAAGTGCTGGTAGTCTAGAGAAGCCACCAACTCGAACAAGCTTGCAGTAACTTAGATTAAGAATTTTCAATGGCCGAAGAATCTGTTACATTGGAGATCATTTAGTCAGGCGTTTTATTAAAAATTACAATAATTTACTAAGAATGAAGTAAAAGATTCCATACCTTTGGTTTCTTCCAAAGCTCTGTCAAACCACTATAAGACATGTAAAGAGCAACCAACTTTTCCATTGGTAATTCTGATGGTATGTATTTCAGTTGGAATCCATGCAAACACAACCCTATTAAAGTATTTGGGAAATTCTTGTAGGATCCTTAGAGTTTTACATGATTAAGTTGGAGTAGATTTAGTTTATCCATATTTCTTAATGCATTCGTACTCAATTCGATTTTCTTTGAATGAGAAGATGGGAACTTTAGAACGCTATGGGTCGATGGACCTATTCCAAAAATGGTGTTTGGATCATCGTCTTCAAATTCAGGCACCACAACTCTCTTTAAGGCAAGTAAAGGCTCTTTCTCCAATATCTTCATGTCAAGGACAAGACCTTGGATTTTTCAAGAAAACCCAATGAACTTAATATTTGTCTAAAAAGCCAAACTAACTTACACTTTTGTTCAATTCTCATTAGGGTCAATCGACTAATGAAATGAATGGATGACATATTTTATGACGTGAAATTAAATATCGGTAAAATAACTTGTAAGACCAACGAAGTTTCGAAACAATTTAAAAAACCTCAATTCGATGATTTCAAACAGACAAAACATGATTGGGTTTTTTTGAACGCTTTCAAAACTTTGATGGTCTCACAATTCATTTCCCCGATATTTGATTGCACGTCATAAGCCATGTCATTCGCTAACTTTCATTAGCCGGTTGACCCTAATGAAAATTTAATAAAAGTGTAAGTTAGTTGGGTTTTCTTAAACAGAAAAAATATAATTGGAGTTTTTTGAATAGTTTGAAAACTTTGTTGGGATTATAATTCATTTTCCCTAGAATTGTTAAGTAGATAATTAAATACCGTATTTTTATTTCCATAAGAGCCCTCAAGATGAGAGGCTAGACTCTACCATATATATATATATATATATATATATATATATATATATATATATATATATATATATATATATATATATATAGGCAAAAGGAGCACTGTCTAGCTGATATAGGACACCAACATGGACATGAGACTTAGGCTCGATGAGCCTAGACAAGAATAAGATGTGTTGAGTCCATGAGGTGTTAGTGTTAGTTAGAGAGTGGAGTCCTATATTTTCTATCCAAAGGAGTCATTGAGGAGAGAGGTTAGACTCCTAGATGCGGATATGGGACCATGCTAAGATGACGTGGGACACTGACATAGTTGCCAAATAGATGAAACAAAATAATGATTACATATGAAGAGTATGTTATTTTTATTACCCTGTCTTCTTTCAACAAATTGAGGGATTCCTCATGAGTCAATACCTAATTGCGCTTCCATGGCTTCTCAGGTGATTCGTGACAGACTAGATCTCTCCCCATCTCTTGAACCAATTGATGCATCATTAATTCATTTCTTCCTCCAATCGTGAGAAAACATCTATCAATGAGATTGGTTATTCCATATGATGTGCGAATACCACATTCCTTTAATATTGTTTCAGTATCTTATTTATCTTTTCCAACAAAAACAAACATGCAATATGCTTAAACAAATCTTTGCAATTTTCAGATGGCAAAGAATCAAAGCTAATCTGGAGGACCTTGTTTACATGAGTATGAAATTCTCTTGTCTCTAGCATTTCAAAGGTATCAGTCCATGTGGCTACATCTTCTTTACTTAGAGAGCTACCCAAAACCTTAAGAGCTAGAGGATGCCCTCCACAATACTTTAAAGCTGTTATTGCCTCCTTTTTATAACCCTCCTTTGGATCATAGCCTCCAAATGCATGCCAACAAAAAAGTCTTAGAGATTCACTAGCACTTAAACCACAAAGTGCATGTTTTGTATGTTTTGGAGGCATTGTTAAACGAAACAATGCACAATTTTCTGTTATGGATCTATCTTTGGTTGTTACAATGATTTTGCTTCCTGGTTGAAATCCTTTTGTTCCAATCAACGCATCTATCTGCTCAAAGTTATCAACACCATCAAGAACAACAAGCGTTTGTTTATGAAATAATACTTTCTTAATCTTAGATGTACACACATCTACATTATGTTCTTCGATCATTCTTTTCCTAAGAATGTCTCCAAGAAGTTGTTTTTGTGGATTGAGTAGCGCATGTGTTTGGTCTGCACATTTTCTTTCAATGTCTTCAACAAAGCTAATTCTTTCAAATTCATGGCTATGCAACCTATAGATATATTTAGCCAAAGTTGTTTTTTCGATCCCTGCCATTCCCCATATTGTGAGTATTTCAACAGTTTTTGACAAAGATCCTCCTTTCAACCAGGACATGATGTTATGAATAGAAATGTCCATCCTAATTACGTGTGGGATTTTACGCTCCGAGTATAGTGCCGGTCTACTTTTAATCTCCTTAACAACTTCTTCAATTAACACCGTCTCTCATCTGAAATTAGAATCAATGGCAAAGACAACAGGGGGACATGCAGCTGTTGAGCCTCCCCCCGCCCCCTAATAAGTCTCTTAATTTATATATTGCATCTTGTCCAAAAGCACATAATTATGAGGCATATCGTAGCCACTTCCCACTATCTGTGGATCGATAAATCAATCATTTTCAAGATAATTAGTTTTTTAGCTAATGATTTCCCAAAATAATTAGTTGTTTGACAAAACTTATTTTTCAATTGTTATTTTGGTTTGTTAAAATGCAAGCTTTTTCAAGATCATGATGAGCTACTAGCTTACTAGAATATTTTCGATGAATATACCCTACATCTAATGATCTTATTACCAAGAACTAATCCGAAAAATAGAAAACATTGGGTATTTCTTTGAGATTGTTTTGAAGTTTTAGTTTCGATGTTCTAGTTTTTGTGCTTGTATACCGCCTTTGATTAGAATGTAAGCCCTCCTATTTTAAAATCCTAGCTCCACCCACGATTAGAATCAAATTTTATGAACAAGTCACAACCCATGTAAATCAAAATAAATTAACGTACTCAATAATTAGGTTTTTGCATTCGTTTATTTTATTATTGACAGATGGTTTCTACAAAATTCTAGATTTTTTGTTTATTATTGAGTACATTAATTTATTTGATTTACATGGGTTGTGACTTGTTCTACATGATTAAAATCTATCCAACAAATGGTTTCTACAAAATTCTAGATTTTTTGTTTATTTAATAGGAGTTTGGATTCTATAGGTATCGTTTGCTACATGGTTCCTTTTTGATTACCATTCTGATTGATTACCTTTTACTTTTACGTGTTTCCTATAACACTTTGGGCTAGGGTAAAACACACATGCACCCAACTAATCCTACTGGTTAGATTTATACCTTTTGTTCTTGGGAAGAACCCCTTTTCAACATCATATTCTGGAAGATATAAATCTTACAAGAGTTTCATGGAAATATAATATAGAAGTTTTACCAGCCATTTGCATCCTTTCCTTTCAAATCAGCAATCTCTGTAAGTCCGTTCGTCCATAACTCCAACTTACGAGTGTTGGTGATTTGTTATCATCAATATTATTTAAGTGTAATGGGATTACTTTGTTGACCAAAGGTGATCTTGATAAATATTAAACAAGTAAGGAAGGCGTGGAGTACACTCTTGTTTAAGTTTGATCAAGTTTTCAAAGTAGACTGTCATTTAGGGGCGAAGCCCTTAAACGAACGGGGGTCCGGGGGCAGCACCCCTGGGAGCGGGGTCTAAGGGGCGGCAGCCCCTGGCGGGGTCCAAGGGGCAGAGCCCCTGGCTGGGTTGAGCTGCCATGTCATCGCGATTTTTTTTATATAGGGTATGTTGCTATATAAAAAATGCATTAGAAAAACGTATTTTCATAGAATTGATCATTGTTTGACCCTTATCCAAACTTCCGTTTTATGTCAGTTTTTACAGTTTATGACAGTTTGAAACTGTCATATGACAGTTTTCAGACAAAGATCATAAATTCATTTTTTGTCTCATTTTCTGGTACAACGAAATAATCATCAAAGCATTCCAAGTTCTTATCCCGCTGAGTCTTATCTGATTAAAGAATATTGGGAGTACCACCCAAATGCTTTAATCTGAAAGTGTTTTACACAATTCTCAGAATTCTAAGCCTTACTATACCCCAAATCTAACAACGAGCACCTTGACTTTTCTTCTCCTCACCCGACTTTATCTCCATCCTCTGTTTGTGTTCAAATAACGCAGCTCCAAAGGTACTTTCTTGATTCCTCACATGGGTAGGGTCAAGATTGTAAAAAATGGGGGGAACAATATGGTTTGGAAGCCTTTCGTCGCTCAAGGACCATCACGAGCTCATCTAGACACCATTATGAAGATGCGTAATTCTTGGACAACACAATTATCAAAGCACGGGAGTTTTTTTAGCTCTTTCAAGCTCGGGTTTTAGTTCTTCCCCAGTTTCAACCTCTTCCTCATCAAGAAAAGTAGAGATGTTTTCATTCACCACAGCTTGGTAGAGGTAATCTATATAACCGAGATGAGTGTCTTTACCTCTGAAATTCAAGAAAACATCATATGTTATTGCCGCTTCTTGTTCTAGGATGGCCATGAAAGTTGAAAATTACAAGAGTGTATATGAGCTGGGATTATAAGTTTCGTTGCTTCTTATTTTTGTTGCCTTAAATCTAAACTGATCGAGATCATGTCTCTTGTTTGGTAGCAGAGTCAAAGTTTGGCAGCAAAGTAAGTGTTTATTTTCTTGTTTAGCTGACTTGGTCTCCGGCCGAATAGATTGTTCTGGGCGTTTGGAAAAGGCAAACGATTTGATCTGAATTTTTAGCTTTTTACTGGTCGAAAATATTCAACTTTTGCTTCTTAATAGCATCTAAAATAAGAGAATTCTATGGTGAAACGATTTTTTAAAAGCTTCGACTCAAAAAGCTTATAGATGACTATCTTGACAAAAATAACCATTTCTTCCCGATTATGAAACATAATTACTTTCTCTAAACAAGGCATTCCAATGAATTATGTTCGTTTCGGAGTTGGTGGCGGTTAGGTGACTTCCGACATAAAGTTTATCTGAACGTGATAAAATACATTCCGGACTAACGAAATTAACATCGTACATGCGAGATGTAGACGTACATTCCAAACCAACTGTCATAGGGCTAAGCAAAACCGAAACAAAATAACTGACTAAAACCAAACCAAAATCGTCGGTTTTAATTTTAGATTTTTCAAAGCCAAAATAATTGGTTTGGGTTCAGTTTTGGGTTTAAAACCAAACTGATCCAAAGGGTTTAAAACCGATCCAAACCCAAGAAACCGACCCACTATACATTTTATTAGTTATTTAATATATTTTAATAAATGTTATATGTTTTATTAAAACGATAAATATAGAAAAGTTTCAAAACTTTACCTCATCACCAATGCTTATCATATCTCACTTTGTGAGAATTAGCATTACTGCATCACAAGGCACAAACATCATCCCTAAGTCAATAAATCGCCTAGTTGGTACGTGAATAAGATGCAAGCAAGATAAAGGCTCTCGAGTCTCGACGTAAGGAAGACATCGACACATTGAATTTGTTTCGTTTTATTTAGAATTATTGGAAATGGGTTGAAACCCAAAACCCATGGATTAAAACCCAAAATCCATCAACTCATGGGTTGAACCAAAAAACTTAAGAAACCAACTCATGAACCTTCAAATCTAACCTATTCAAAAAACTGAACCTAATGGTTTTAAAACCCAAAAATCAAAATTTTCGGTTTGGGTTCGGTTCCACCCTAAAACCAAGCCAAACCAACCCATAGACACCCCTAGTTGTCATTTTTCAAGATTGATGTTGTACATTCTGATATGTATTAGTACATTCTAGACACTGTTTCAAGAATTTTTCACTACATATCTTGTGTTTTCCATGTTTTTTTATTTCATTTACAACCAAGAATTCGTAATGGCCTTTTAAATTTTTTAGAATATTAGTTTCATAGACTGATCACGATCTTTGCTAGTGTAGTTGTGTACTTGCATAACCTCTAAAGGACCAACCTCCATAGTTTCACCAAAAATAAAATAGATGTCACGGATCATTTGAGTTCTTTGTGTGGCTCTTGGATGTATGGTAAAAAATTGTCTTCCAAATTTTAATTACTTTTTTATTGATTAATCTTATTACAATTTATTGTTTGTTTCACCAAAAATAAAATAGATGTCACGGATCATTTGAGTTCTTTGTGTGGCTCTTGGATGTATGGTAAAAAATTGTCTTCCAAATTTTAATTACTTTTTTATTGATTAATCTTATTACAATTTATTGTTTCATTTTGCCAAAAAGTTTAGCTTCATACAGGTGCTCACTATTCGTAGTAGTTACTATGGACGGAAAAAGATTAGACCCTATCTATAAATACCCATTTTCATAAAGTAATAATATAAGGATTAAACCATTTGCTCATAAACCATTATCCAAAATCAGAGATAAAGAAAAACATCGCAGAATTCCAAATAATAAAATTGTTAATTTGTGTACAGTCACTCATTCTCCTACCCAAGACCTAAAGAAGTACCTGAAATCATTTAATCCACAGTTGTAAGCAGAAAACTTAGCGAGTTTCCTAAAATACCACACATAAAAATATACATACAATGGATACAAATAATAACTTTCATCACAAAGTTGGTCCGCCCCTTTGGCCTTCAACATGAATCCCATAAATCCGGTCCACCTTCGGTGTGACAACCCGAAAATACATCACTAACCATCATTAGAATCTAATGTTGTCAACATCATGTAATATGACAACCATGTAACTAGGGGTGATAATTCCTGCTATCGTTTCGTGTATCTGTCTGACACAACATGACACGACAATGTTTTTTGTAACACGAACACGACACGATACGATGTCGCGTTTTTTTAACTAACATGAAAATGAACGAATTAAAAAACATCAAACACGATAAATATAACATATACTAAAAACTAGTTTATTTAATGAATACTTTATCAAATATAACACGACAAACACGAAAAACAAGATAAAGAACTGCTAAATCGTGTCAAATTTGTGTCAAATTTTGAACAAAAACACGACACGACACGATATCGTGTTTTTTTACATTTAACACGAACACGAATTCAAATTTTAGTTTCGTCCCAATTTCATTTCATGTCGTGTATTTTTGTCGTCTCGTGTCAAAAATTGTCACCCCTACATGTAACCATTCGAAATATATAAATAAATATATTTGATTTCAATTAGGTCAACATTTAAGCTCAAAATTAAATGCGTAAAAAATCATGTCACCTTGAGAGCAGGTTTTCATTTTTAGAACATATGCATTGCTGCGA